TTTTTTTTTTCTAATTTTATATGAATGCTGTGCCTGCCAGTGCAGCTGAACGCCTATAGAGGGCACCAGATCCTATTATAGATGGCTGTGAGCCTCCATGTGGGTGCTGGGAACTGAACTCAGGACCTCTGGAGGATCAGCCAGTGATCTTAACCATTGAGCCATCTCTCCAGCTCCCATAATTTGTACTTCTAAATTGAATACAGAGATTTATTATAAATCAAGGAGAACATAACGGTAAAGATGTAGACGTTGCCACGAAGGAGTTGTAGCAGGTAACCACAAGAAAAGCAAATGTAAGTCAGATGACTGGCTGCAAGGTTTGCTTTGCACAGAGAGACTCCCCCCCCCATACCTAGCCTTGCTTTGAGGTATTGATAGCCCACTAATTACCATCTTTCTGTGCAGATTGAAGTCGGACTGGTTGTTGGAAATAGTCAAGTTGCATTTGAAAAAGCAGAAAATTCATCGCTCAATCTTATTGGTAAGATTTACAGTTTTAGATAAAGCTAAGGTGTCTCTGATATTACATATGACTCGTGGTAAAGAAGAGGGACTTCCTCCCGGAAGCCTTATCCTAGAGTCGGGACATTTGTACTGTCAGATGTGCTGACACAGGTTCCAAAGCCTCCACCCGGAGCACCTAGTCCAACAGAAATAAAATGTGAAACACACAGGCACATTTTAACTTCCTTTTCTCATAGCCGTATCAAAAATGACTACAAAGAAACAATGAAATTTTTAGTTTTGAAACTCGGAGATAATTCTAGGCTCATAAAGATCTGTAAAAGTGCTAAAACGAGCCCCGTGACCTTTCCCAGTTTCCCCTGGTGTGAGCGTCATACAATGCAGTCACCAAAGCTGACAAGTTCACATGGATTCCCTGCTGCCACCCAAGGTGCTATCTTTCCTCAGATTCCACCAGGTTTTCCATTACGGCCTCCCTCTGCTCTAGAGTCTTATTCAAGATCATCCCGCACTACACGGAGTTGTTCCGTGGGACTCTTCCCATCTCTGACACCTCCTCAGAATTTCATGATCTTTTGTGACCCGTCAGCCCCTCAGCTAATTGCTTTGTTAAATGAAATACCATCACTGTTCTTTAGTGATGGAGTGACGAGTGTGTGCTTAAACTCCTCCCAGCATATTTAGCTTTTGCTTACTTGCCTTGCTTTGATATGTTAAAATAATGCAGTTTAATCTCTCAGAATAGCAACTCATTTAAATAATGATGTGCTAACTGGAATTTATGGTTGACATAATTATGTTCATGTCTGTCCCAATGGAACAGAGAAGTTTTTCATTGGCTGTCCAAAGTTACTTGACTTTGTTTAAATGTGGGTTATTGTTTTTGTTTTTGTTTTTTTTAAATCAGTAATTTACCAGTCTCTATTGCAGTTTGTCTTTTACCTTTTTTGAAAAAGACTCTCTTTTCCATTGTGTGGTCTGTGCACTGAATACAGTGTACGGAGGCCGGAAGACAGCATCAGATCCCCCTGGAACTGGAGTTGCAGATGGTTCTGAGCCTTTGAACATGAGTGCTGAGAGCCAAACTCAGGTCCTCTGCAGGAACAGTGTATCACAGTAACTGCTAAGCCATCTCACCAGCCCAGACACGCCTTGAAAGTGTGGACCTCTTGCTCTGTATGCTCTGCATGCTAGGATTGTGCCACTGTGCCTATGGATAAGCATTCACTAAGACAAAATTCACATTCTAAATTTCATTTTATGACTTACCTTATGTAGTTATTGTGTGGGGGCATAGGCGTTTGGGCACATGTGACATGTTACATGTGCTCAGAGGATAACTTTGGAGAGTCAGTTCTTTCTGTCTGTGAGGGATGGGATCAAACACAGGTTATCCAGTTACAAGTGCCTTAATTCACCAAGCAAGCCACATCAGTAACCCTTAATTTGCTTTTCTTTGCTTAACATGTTTCAAGGATCTTAAATATATCTCACATTATGATTTTAATGCCCACATATATCCCATTTTTAAGATAGATGTATTGTAATTTCCTATTATGGACACAGGATGTTTATGATGTGATTTATTTATATTTTACTTTTGCATGATTTTTGTTAAAATATCTTATCCCAAGGCAATTCTATAGCGTTTGGACAGTGTAGGTGTTTTCAAGGAACTTATGAGATGTGATTTCAGTTGGAAAATGAAATTGCAGTAATTTGGCATGCAATGAGTCTGACCACAAGAGGGCAGTAGAGCATAATAAAATATTTTTGATTTCCTTCTTAAAGGAAATCTTAAGTCTGCAAAACTAACCAGAAAATTATTATCTGCAAATTTTTTAATGTGATATTTTCTCCCTCAACTTCATAAAGTCTATGTTTCCCCTTTTGTTTAGAGTGTGCCAGGGTACCCTGTTCTTTGTGTCTGAAAAAGGTGTGGTTCTCTTGAGTTACCTTAGGTGGCACTCTGACATCTAAATTAAACAATTTTTATCTTTATGAGAGAATTTGTAAGTATAACTTCTGCAGTCATTAAAGCCTTTAGAATGTTTTTAGACTTTTGTGTACCTGTGACAAGACATCAAACTCATTCCATACATCCTAGGCTGAGGGGCTATCTGCCGCCATACGCTTCCCCCGGGTAAATACATACATCTTATATCCACTTACCAGGGGCTGTGAGCCAGTGCTCAACGTCAGCTACATCCCTGGAGCTGGTGGGATCTGCGTCAGATACATGCATGGTGTTTCCTTTCATCAACTAAGTTACTTTAGTTGGATTAAAAGTTAATGAATCGGAATTCCGTGGGCTGACTGCAGATAGACTAGACTAGCATACGTTTAGTTAGTTTGGGAAGTTTATTACTGACCATGAATGGAGAGCAGACAAAATAGGTAAGTCAGTCATACCCTTCTCACTGGAAAAACCAGCCTAGTGCGTGCTGTCCAACTTTATGGAACAGCTGTGTGTCAGTTCACTTAGGTCCAGGGGGCATCTGTCCTTTTTATACTTAACCCCGCTGTTTTCCTCACAGATTTGTATTTGTTTGACACAGGCAAAGCTAAAACCAAGGAAAATCGCCAGTCAATCATCAATCCTGACTGGAACTTTGAGAAAATGGGAATCGGCGGTCTGGATAAGGAGTTTTCAGATATTTTCCGACGAGCATTTGCTTCTCGGGTGTTCCCTCCGGAGATTGTGGAGCAGATGGGTGAGTTTCTGACCCAAGGCTGGTGCTCCTGAGGAAGCACACAGCTGACAGACGCTTGCCAAAGTAGTTCTGAAATGATTTTTCAAATCCACCTGAGTAATACTGATTTTAACTTCTTTAAAAAAACAAAAAACAAAAAAAAAAAAA